AATATGACTGGGAAAGATCGATTCTGGGTCTCCAGTTCCCTTTTCACCATGAATCACGAAATGACTCGAACGGTCGCCAAATACTGACGCCACCCGAATGTGAGCCGACTGTTGGTGAGTGAGTCTAAACAAGCCAACAGGCAATAGCTACCTAGGTACTTACTTACCTAGCTTACTACAGTGACTCGTGCATCCCTTCCCTTATATCGACGAAATACTTCTAGGTAAGGTAGGTTCCATGTATCGGAGTCGGAAGATGGAATCAAACTCGACGCTATGGTGGTACTTCCCATAGGGTAAAGGGAGCACCCTGATGGAGGGTGGGGAGAGGGGCTTGGCCTCTGTGACCAGGTACCCCTCAAACACTTGTAAAGTTGTATGTAGTGTACGCGGGCTGACAGGTATAGTGGGGCCCGTGCGTGGGAAATCTTTTGACTCATGGCCATGGCTTCCGGCCGGCCTAGTCCGTCTGCCCCTCCGAAGGGCGGCCGCAGAAATTCCTGTCAGCCTGACGGCCCGCCTATAACAATCAACCCTTCAGCTGCCCATTGACCCTTATCGTCCTCTGGATGCCGCTTTCGTTGTGGCGATTGGCAATTGGAAGCTCGAGAAGGCATTCATTGCTTAAAATCACGTCGACCCGCGTTCTTCCTGTTCCGCGACAGTATTCGACTTACAATAACAACAAAAAAGTCACCATGCCGGGAGAAGATCAACCCGTTGCCGCGCCTGCCGCTGCGCCGAAGAAGAATGGTTCGTGAGGCTCGTGGATCTGAACTCTCCCATGTGCGATTGTGGCCACCAACTTACACCTGTTTCTTTGCTCTTGTAGACAAGAAGGAGAAGGCCAAGGCCGACAAGGCCGCCAAATTCGCCGCCAAGCAAGCCGCCGCCAAAGCGAAGCAGCCTGCTGCTCAGTCCGCCCCCAAAGAGAAGAAGGAGAAGACTCCTGCCCTGCCTCCTTACGAAGATACCACCCCCGCTGGCGAGAAGAAGGTCATCCAATCATTCGAGCACCCTCACTTCTCTGCCTACAACCCCAGCGCCGTCGAGGCGGCATGGTATCAATGGTGGGAGAAGGCCGGCTACTTCAAGCCTGAAAGCTGCAGGAAACCCTCGGCTGGCAAGTTCGTTATCCCTCTGCCACCTCCGAACGTTACCGGCGCTCTCCACTGCGGCCATGCTCTCGCCAACTCCCTGCAAGATACTTTGATTCGCTGGTACCGCATGAAGGGCTATGAGACCTTGTGGGTGCCCGGTTGCGACCATGCCGGTATTTCGACCCAGTCCGTCGTCGAGAAGATGCTCTGGAAGAAGGAGAAGAAGATCCGTCAAGAACTTGGCCGTGAGAAGTTCACAGACCTCGTCTGGGAGTGGAAGGGTGAATACCATCAGCGCATCAACAATGCCCAGAAGCTTATGGGCGGCTCGATGGACTGGAGCCGCGAGGCTTTCACCATGGATAAGAACCTCACCGCTGCCACCATGGAGACTTTCTGCCGTCTTCACGACGAGGGCCTCATCTACAGGTCCAACCGCTTGGTGAACTGGTGCACCCACTTGAACACCGCGCTCAGTGGTTTGGAGGTCGAGACCAAGGAGATTACCGGCCGTACACTTCTCGACGTCCCCGGTTACGACAAGAAGGTCGAGTTCGGTGTTCTTACACACTTCAAGTACCAGATCGACGGTTCCGAGGAGACGATTGAGGTTGCCACCACCCGTCCCGAAACCATGCTTGGCGATACCGGTATTGCCGTCAACCCGGAGGATCCCCGCTACACCCACCTTGTCGGCAAGTTCGCCCGCCACCCCTTTGTTGACCGTCTCCTTCCCATTGTCACCGACGACTACGTCGATAAGGAGTTCGGTACCGGTGCTGTCAAGTTGACCCCGGCCCACGATTTCAACGATTACCAGCTTGGTCAGCGTCACAACCTCGAGTTCATCAATATTCTGAACGAGAACGGAACCCTCAACGATAATGCCGGCCCTTTTAAGGGACAGAAGCGCTTCGACGCCCGTTACACTGTTGTGGAGGAACTGACCAAGCTTGGACTCTTCGTTAAGAAGGAACCCAACCCAATGAAGATTCCCCTTTGTGAGAAGTCTAAGGACGTTATTGAGCCCATGATGACCGAGCAATGGTGGGTTCGCATGAAGGAGATGGGTGAAGCTGCGCTCAAGGTTGTCGAGGAGGGCAAGGTCAAGATCTCCCCCGAGAGTGCTACTAAGTCCTACAAGAGGTGGCTTTCTGATATCCAGGATTGGTGTATTTCCCGTCAGCTCTGGTGGGGCCATCGCATTCCTGCTTACCGCGTCATCTTTGAGGGTGAGGAGGGCCAACGTGAGAATGAGAAGTCCGAATGGGTGGTTGGCAGGACACAAGAGGAGGCTCAGGCAAAGGCTGAGGCCAAGTTCGCCGGCCGCAAGTTCACTCTTGAGCAGGACCCCGACTGTCTGGATACCTGGTTCAGCTCCGGACTTTGGCCTATGGCCATTCTTGGCTGGCCCAACACTGAGAACCTCGACTTCAAGAAGTTCTTCCCTACCAGCATGCTCGAGACCGGCTGGGACATTTTGTTCTTCTGGGTCAGCCGTATGATTATGCTCAGTCTCAAGATGACCGGAGAGGTACCGTTCACTGAGGTGTACTGCCACAGTCTGATTCGTGATTCCGAGGGCAGGAAGATGAGCAAGTCTTTGGGCAACGTCATTGACCCTCTTGACATCATTCGCGGTATTGAACTAGAGGATCTCCACGCAAAGCTGCTGGTCGGTAACCTGAAGGAGGAGGAAGTCGCCAGAGCCACCAAATACCAAAAGACTGCCTTCCCCGGCGGTATTCCCGAGTGCGGCGCGGACGCCATGCGTTTCACCCTTCTCTCCTACACCACTGGCGGTGGCGATATCAACTTCGACATCAGGGTTATGCACGCTTACCGCAGATTCTGCAACAAGATTTGGCAAGCCAGCAAGTACGTCCTTGGTAAGCTTCCTCAAGACTTTGTGCCCAAGGGTGAGCTTGACACCGCCAAGTTCTCCGTTCCCGAGAAGTGGATCCTTCACCGCATGAACGTGGCCGTTAAGGGCATGAATGAGGCTCTTGAGGCCCGCGAGTTCTCCAGAGCCACCAAGGTGGCCTACCAGTTCTTTTATGACGAGCTCTGCGACGTCTTCATCGAGAACAGCAAGGGTATCCTTAGCGACGGTACCCCTGAGGAGCAGCAGAGCGTGCAACAGACACTGTATCATGCCCTTGATGTGGCGCTGCGCCTTCTCCATCCTATCATGCCCTACATTACTGAGGAGCTCTGGCAGCGTCTTCCTCGCAAGCAGGGTGATGGCGAGACCATCATGCTTGCTCCCTACCCTGCCTTTGAGTCTCAGCTCGAGTTTGCTACCGAAGCTGAGGACTATGAGCTTGGTCTCAAGTGCGCCGGCGGCATCCGCTCCCTGGCTGCCGACTATAACATTAAGTCGGATGGCAGAGCGTTCATCAAGGCTACTACTGCGGACAGCCTTGCTACTGTTAGTGCTCAGCTCGCCGCCATCAGGACACTCTGCGGCAAGGGCGTCAAGGAGGTCAACGTCTTGGGCGCTGATGAGGAGCTGCCAAGAGGCTGCGCCGTCTATGTCATCAATGCCGAGATCACCGTCCTTCTCCAGGTTGGCGGTAGCATTAGCGACATCGATGCCGAGATCAAGAAGATCACCACCAAGTTGCAGAAGACTGATCTCACCATCAAGAAGCAACAGGAGCTTCTGTCTAAGGATGGCTTCGAGAAGGTCAGCGAGGCTGTCCAGGAGTCTGAGAAGCAGAAGCTGGCTGATGCCCAAGCGGCAAAGGAGAACTACCAACGCACTCTGGAGGAGTTTAGCAAGCTCAAGATTTAAATGAAATTCGGAGTTGGCATCTGTTTAAGCGTTTAGTATGGTCCCTGAGTGTCCGAACAATGCTCAAAGCGTCTGAAACGTTGTAGCTAGTATATTTTTTTTTTCTCAATCAAAACGGCGTAGTTCGGAATTTGAATCATTCCACTGTAAAACTTTGCGTGATAGAGATGCATGTAGTGTTTCGACTTTCCGTTAACTGATGAGTATATCAAACCTGCATCTTATCCAATTCATTTGGGCATGTTTTTCTGTTTTGTCCTGCTTGTCTCATTTACAAGAGATAGTTATCTCAGCACTCAGACCTCCCTTCTTCGTTCTTGCTTAGAGGTAGATAGGGACGTATTTTGTCTGGGAATTTGAGATAATACAAGAGTCTGTTTTCCCAAGGTCGCTGTGGTCCCTTGAAAGTGATTTGTAGGTGTATTCATTGGTTATCAGCTCCGTACAGCCATTCACTACCATACAGCCTGAAGCATCAAAATATCTTGTAGAACTGATGCTTCATTAGTTGCTTCATCGTTGCGGTGCTGCCATGAAATTTGAATGACTGAAGTCTCGAGTGGGCCTGTCCGGCATGGAAATTGTGGGTCCGCTAAGAGGAACGGGGTGGGCGGAACGCTAAGTAGTGCACAGTGCAGTGATGTACGCCCAACCTGTAACGCAAGCCACAGTACTCAGCCACCAGTGGCGGGAGACGCGGCAGCCCTAAGCGGGAAATCTGGCTTGCCGCACATTCCCAAAATTTCGCGATCCCCTACTTGAGAGAATCATCCAACTCACGACAACGCTCCGCCCGGTGACGACGACGAAGGTATTTCCGCTCCACCCCAAACAGTCGGTCCCTTACGGTCATACTGATTCTGCTTGAATACAGCAACCGCCAAAATGAGTAGGTTTTCCCCGATCCTGCAGACACACGACGTATCCCGATACCATTTTTGATCGACCCCTCGCCAACGACCAAATTCACGATCCGGTCGAAATGTTGCACTGAGCGACTGTAAACTGGACGATCTACGGCTCGAAGACGAAATTATGCACGACAGCTATAGGAGGATGCAATATGGTCGGAACACAATGGGCTGACACGGTCGCAAACAGCTAAGGGAACTTCGAGCTTTGGCAAGCGGTATGTTGAGGACCCATACGGCTTGGACACCGTCGAATAAGGGTAACTAATTCTCCATGCAGCCACACCAAGACCCACGGTCTTTGCAGACGTTGCGGGTAAGTCGACACGAATCCGAAACCGATTGAGGAAGGAGAATACATGGGTCGACGGCCGCGAAGATGAACGAAAACTATCAACGACGTCCACCCGCTACAAGAGAACAAGAGATTGACAATCGATTCACCAGTCGCCGTTCGCTCCACAACCAGAAGAAGGTCTGCGCTTCTTGCGGCTACCCTGCCGCCAAGACCCGCAAGTGTACGTTGGACTCTTTATCATCATCCTCGAGGGGGCGCCTACCAAAGGGGTTCCCCCGGATCTTGGGCGCAAGTGTCAGGATGCTGACAACAGGGTGTGTAATACAGACAACTGGTCTGAGAAGGCCAAGCGCAGAAAGACCACCGGCACTGGTCGCCTCCGTTACCTCAGCACCGTCTCTCGCAAGTTCAAGAACGGCTTCCAGACCGGTGTCCCCAAGGGCTCCAAGGGTCCCGTCGCTGCTTAAACGAGCGAACTGGGTTGGATTTTCGGTTCTCTCGGGTCGATTAACGTGAACTGGCGGCGGCGAAGTGGGACAAATGGGACGGGATCGTTTTCTTTGGCGGGCGCGGTGTAACCAGGGACTGGGATTATCTCCGGATCGGACCTAAACTCGCTTTTTGCTGCTGCTACATCACATCAACGGGCAAAAGGTGCACGAGGTTTCATTTTGCGCGCGCGCGGGAACTTGGTCTTCAAAAGCATTCTTGACATGCAAGAAGCAAACATGGTCATGAGATACAATGGCGTAACGTCTTTTTGCTGAAGTGGAAACAGCAAAGTCTCCCCGCGGACAAGCAAGCTCTCAGACTTGGTGGTGGGCTGAGTGTCGCCCGGTTGAGCAAGTTTTACTACTCTTCAATTCCAGTTCCGTTTTTCACTTGAGCATTTGGACATTTGGGAGGGCTACGAATGTCAAATATGACGTGATGTGTGATGATTATCAATTTCAATATCAGGCCTGATACCCACCAGCTACTTACTGCCCCCTTTCGAAAACCCGAACACTACCATCTCCCCCGACATGATACAGATACTCCTTCTCCTCTATCTGTTTCTCGCCGCCACTGTCTCCGCCACGCGTAATCCTGACCACACCACTCACATCCTTCGCGATGCCAGTATCAAGCAATCGGAGGCTCACAACCATCTCTGCTTCATGCGCCAGTGACAAAACAAACGACGCGTGATCCTTGTCAAGTGTGGTCACCTGCGAAGCGATCAATGGGTCGTCGGCGGACAGCGTGAGTATGGTAGCATGTGATTTCTAATATTATTCAACATCAGTGTCTTTGTCCAATATCTCCTTTGGCCTAGATATCTCCCCATGGGACGACGGCGACTTACCTCTCTGAGATCCAACAGCAAATCCTGCAAAGCTGATGAAACCAACCCGTTCCCATCCGACGTAGCCGCCAGCAAAAAGTCGAGCTGGTCAATAACCAACACAACCTTCTTATTCTTCTGGCACAGCTCATCCAAAGCAGAGTGCAGCGTCTTGCTCACGTCTGCCACTGCCAAACTGGGAAGAGAGCGCTTCCACCTTTCTCCTTCGACGGGTCTTTGTGACGATGATCCCCCGGTGGTGGTTGTTGTTGTTGTTGTTGTAGCAGGTCGTGGTGCTTGTGGTGGTCCTCGTCCCGGCACTGCTCCTGTTGCTCCTGCTGATGACCCCCCAGTCGCCGCCAATGGCACCGGAGGTCTTCTCACCGGAAGCCCTCCTCCGCCACCAACAACACCACCCTCCCCATCAGAACCAGACGACCCAAACCCCACACAAAGCCCATCAACAAAGCCCAACTTCCCCCTCCTCCCCAACCCCTCCAGATCAAGGCCCAACCTGCCCGCGCTCTCCTTCCAAAACGCAAAGTCGCGGAGGAAGCTCACCAGCAACACTCCCACACTTTCATTCCCACTCTCACCCTGATCACCAGCATCTCCTCCATTTTGTTGTTGTTGCGCGTGGGTGGAAGTGCGTAGCTCGAATTCCGGCTCGGCAGCTATCGGCATGCGGGTGCCCAGACGTCTTTGGCCTTGGGGTTGCGATACTGCTGCTGCTGGTGGGCGTGAGGGGGGAGAGGATCTGGATGCGGAAGAAGATTTGAGCAAGGTGTACAGGTAGCGGAGGAGGAGCCAGTTGGTGTTGGCGCCGAGGATGCCCGTTAGGAGGATTTGAGATTGTGACTGGGACGGCTCAATCTCGAGCAATGGCTCTAGGAGGTGGGGGATATTTCTGGATGTCATTTTCTGTCTTTTTGAAGCAGCCGCTCAGGTTAGGCGTGAATGTAAGATCGATTGGTAGGTGAGTATTAAGGGAGTATCGATGTGGTGGTATGTTGATGCGAGAATAATCTGTATGCTTCCCTAGAGAAATATGTAGGTAGTGTGATGTTGTGGTTGCCCCGGGTTCGAAATGAGTGGTTTCCAGTGTTTTAAAGACAAACGAAGAGTGATGGGATGAACGCAGGTAAGATAAGACAAAGTTCTTTCCGAAAGAGTCGGGTTGTACAATGGCAGTGAATTAAGTCGAGGAAGGTGAACCTTGTGAGCTTGTGTGACGAGACCTCAGCTGTGATGCAAAAGATACCTCTAGTGGGGCTCGCAAGGGACAGAAAAAGGAGAGCAAATAGAGGGGTCATTATTTACTGTATAGCACTAGCACACAGTACGCATGTCACGTCCCTGTGGTGTTTTGTCACTGTACCCATTTCTTCAACACTCCCACTACATACCTTCTTACAAGTAATTAAAGATCTTCGGCAAACAAGTCCCAGTCGGTTGGGCCATGCTCAAAAACGATTATTCAAGAGTAGCACAAATTTGGCGTCACACAAGCAGGCCCAACATTCACGGAGTTAAGGATCCCATCTAGACGTCGAGTAAATAATGTCCAATAAACTGCTATATGCAAACGCTACTAAGATGGTATCATGCAAAATCCGTACAAGTATCCCAACCAAGTCAATGAATGCACCTTATAACTCCCTTCCTGACATAATCATTAATCATACTCATGACTAACCTCACCAATCGGTGACAGGTTACCGCTCACAAGGCTTCCACAGTCTACCTTGACAATAGCCCTCAAGTGTATTTGACTCTCCGGAAGTTCACCTAGAACTTCTCCATAAAGTTCTTCCGGACCGTCCACATTCTAGCTCTCTTTCCGTAGATGTACATCGGGATAGTTAAAAAGAGCAGGATAAGTTGAATGATTCCGATCCAGATGAATACAGTCTTGGGTCCGTCGTCCGTGAGCCAACCAGTCACAAACAAGCTGAAGACGAGACCGTGGAAAATGTTCTTGCTGAAGTTGAGCGTGACCAGGGCCTCACCCGCATACTGTCTGTAGCTGTCGACGCAGAAGGTGATGCTGGTTGTTGAGCCAAGCGAACATCCGAACGAGACAACACCAAAGAAGACGGTCGGCACAATCCAGTGGTCACCCAACTGCGCGGACCAGCCGAAACCCATCAAGCCAATGACCGTGGTGATGGCCACAGGTAGAGCCATGACAAGTCTGAACTCTGGCTCATAGAGGCCACCATTGCGCCTGGCCATCGCCTTCACAATGACATCCGATACCTTGCCCGCCACAGCCGTGCCAAGAATACCACCGACAAAGGGACTGATATAAACCAAACCCGTCTGCAGGGCGTTAAATTCATAGTGACCTTCGCGGTAGATGACAGCCACAGACTCGGATATCACAATAAGCCATCCGACTGAGCATGCATAGACAATGGCTGACCAGAGGACCGCTGGATAAGAGAAAAGAATGAGCGGCCGGATAGCTACTTTGTGCCATTTGTCCTTGTTCAAGCGACCATGGAAGGGCTTGAGCTGCTGGACAAACGACTTTGCGGGCTGATCACGCAGGGCCGCAGTATATGGAACTCTGCTACCCACCGCGCGGGAGCTAGCCACTGATTGGGACTCGGTATCCGTTTCCGGGTGATCCTGTCTGGCAAACCTCTCTGAGGAGTAAGGAGACTTAGGCTTCTCGATGTTGTCGGGCATGTAGAAGACATGGGGCTTTGTCGAGTTATCAGATGATGAAGGTTCTTGAGTGATAAGCTCGGGGCGTGTAGCATGGCTGTCTTCCGCGAGGATACCTGCTGTCATGGGGACACTCGGATCGTGGAGCTCATCGGGTTTCTCAGAGGTTTCTTGTCGTGTCGCGGCTTCCCTATCCTTTTCCGCATGATGCTCTTCGGCGTCGGTAGCAAATCCAACGTGAACGTTTCGGCGATGGTTAGCCGCCGGTGCTGGAGTCGGGCCTTCCTCACTATGGCGAGCGCTGGGTAGAGCGCTGGGTGGCACACTGACGCCTGCGGCGTCCGAACGCCGAATGTGCTGTTTCGAGGACATGCGGCGGAAAAAGCTTGGTCTGGATGACTTTTTCCTTGGATGAGGCACTCTGTCCCAGAACGTCTCGGGGACAAACAGGAACAGCAGAAACCCGCAGAAACCAACAACCATGGCAACAACCCTAAAGTGACTGGTTAGACTTCAAATCACTCGGTACCGACATTGGAAACAAGAAACTCACCAAAAGGTCCAGCGCCATCCCAGGCTCTCGATCACGGCAGCGCTGACCAGAGGAACCAAATTCTTTCCGCCGAGAAGCAACAGCGTATAAATGCCGATTCGATAAGCTCGCTCGTGGAGGAAGAAGATCTCGGCAATAGTGGCGGACGGAAGGCATTCAACCGGACTCACAGCGATGCCCTGAAAGATTCTTCCAAGCACCAAAGACACGAAGCTTTTGGAAACGGCGCACCATACAGATGTTAAGACAAACAACAGAGCCCCAAAGAGGTACACTGGCCTCTTACCGTACAGGATAGCTGTAGGTGAGAAGATCACGGAGCCAAGGCCCATGCCCAGCATGAAGAGGCCTGTCGTGAGTGATACGCTCGAGACGCTGACATCAAACTCTTTGGCCACATCCGTGAAGCCAGCAGCAAGGAGAGGGGTCATGCCGCCGCCCACCATGCAAAAAAGGCCCAGGGAGAGCAGGGCGGAATCTCTGCGCCATGTTGGCCAGTTGAGGGGGTCATTGGCAGATTCTTCTGGTTGAGGTTCGAGAATGATTTTGCCGTCACTCGTTTTCTTCTTTTCGTCCTGTGGGGGTTCTGGAGGCCGAATAACGGCGGTTGGGATTGATGAATGGGAAGTTCTCGCAGGTGCGTTCCGCAGGCCAAGGGGCTCGTTGTGGTCCGCGGCCAGTAGCAGGACCGAGCCTGGGAGGAGGTTAGGACTAATGTAAATGCAGAACGATGCACCTGGGTAGACTTACCTGGTACTTCAATGGTTTCTCTATCGTTCAAAATGCCCATATTCCATTTTGGTAGTCTTCCCCTCCCTGGGATCTCTGCGTTGTCCTGCTCCCTGGTCGAACTTCGTCCAAACAACCGCCATCCGCCCTTTTGTGGTGTGCTACCCGCTTCAGGATCGGGAGCCATTGCTTCAAACTCTTTTGTTGTACTTTGTATCTGGCGAGACAGAGCACTATGTTGAGATGGATGGGGTGAAAGGTATAAGGTGTGCGGGCGAGTTCAGACGCGAATCGTAGGCACCGGTGTATATAGGAGACGTCAAGATCTTGATATGATGACAACGACCAAGTATATTGTTCTGTCTTGCGGCGATAAAGAAGGATGTAGGATATATGTAAGGCATATGCGGCAGATATGAATTAGAGATGGGTGAAGAATACCCTAGGCAAAGATGACAGAAAGGCATGCAGTATGCAGGAAGGAGGGGAGACGGAGTTCAAGTAGTCCGTCATGAACCGTCAAATCAAGGGCCGGTCGAACTAGCTCTCTGGTTGGCAACTCTCCTTCCTCAACAGGTATCAAGATGCTCCAATATGGCGCAAATCAGAAACAGGAAACAAGGGCACGCCTGGATGAAACGAAAGGAGGAGAAGGGTCAAGTGAGCACAGGAAGCGGCGGTTGTTGAGAATAGCTGCATGCTTTTTCGCTCTTTGATTTTACTTGGGTGGAAAATGCCTTCGACTTGGGTGTATCTGTGGTATCAATGGGTGTCCACTTGAACACGCTAAGACACACCAGCGCGTGGGTCGAACCCATGCTGTAGACGACCCTGCCGTGGGAGTTTGGGGTCTGTCCCGGGAGGTTCCCAGCCCCTTCAAAACGCCGCCGAGGTCCGCCAAGCCCCGAGCCAAGATGGCCCTTTGACGGAAAATGGGAGAAACTACCAGGCATCGGGCCATATTGAAAGGCAACGGCTGAAGAATGATCCACAACTCTGTTTTTTTTGTCGCCTGGTTCGGCTCCTTGTGTTGAGCCAGAGCAGTCGTCAGGTGGACCACGTACACCACTATTGAGTGGGAGTCTTGAGGCAGGGAAGATGGTCGACAAGGACTCTCTCTTGCTGCAGTTGCCTCCATGGGCATCATGTTTGCTGTCCTGAGAGGCTCTTTGGGAGTCCCCAGACTGCTGATCAGGCGAATCTGACAGACCACGGCCGGCGCAAAAAGGCAAAGGATCGACGATCCAGGGCATGAGCCGATGTGGCGGGCTTGACAATAGTTCAGACCAGGACAAAACCGCAAATACCGGGCGAGGTTTTTTGGTGTCTATCGTCCTGCCGTCCTCCTTGACTTTTGGCCCCGTGTGCGAGCACTCGAGTCTCCCGTTGGCGGAAAGAAAGCGGAGCATACGAGATGGACTGCCCGGGGTTGATCAAAGGCCAGGATATAAAGGTTGCTTCGCATTAGCTTACCTCCCGAGTCGTGACAATCGCTGAGCTTATTCTATGATGCCGTCTTATCGCGTGTAAGTTGTTGGACGGTTGTAGAATGGCCGCAATTGACAAACGGTCACGTTAAAGGTAGGTGTCGCACTTGCCCGGTCGCACCAGCTCACACCATTCTTCCGAATAGAGACCCCCCGCCTCTCATGGTCCCCCGCACTACGGGCAGTTCGGGTATCCGCAGCCAAATGCCACAGATGCGCCAGAGATGCGCCAGAGATGCGGAGCTAGCAGCGTTGTAGCGACGCAGATCCTACCTCAAGGCGCCGAACCCACTCCCACTTATCTTTCAATCCGTTAAGGCCGGGGGGACCTTTGGTAGGCATCGACAAATCGGACGCCGAATTATCTCTCCCAAGCACCATCGGAGGGCCTAAACCCTTGGAAGGAGCCCTCCGCCCGGGGTCGACGACGGTCTGTTGCGGCGGATCCCACTGACCTGTGTGCTCGGATGTCCCCCGAGTCACTGCGGTCACAGATTCAACCCGTCTCTTCCAGCAAGGAATCAAGTCAAAGTCTCTCCCACCTCGTGACACTGTCTTCATAAATGATAAAAATGCACAACAATGCTTCTAGTGACGAACCCAATGCCCAGGGATGGAATGTTCCCGAGCCGGTTATCTCGGCCTTGCTCCCACTCAGCTGGACACCATCTCGAAAAGACCAGAATGCTCCCTTGCCCAGTTGCCAGCGCTCACATGTTCATGATTGAGGTGGGAAGTGGGTGTGGTGCCATTGCAAGATCTCCATGGCTTGCAGCACCCCTGCAAAGAAATGAAAGGCGGACCCTCACCTCGTTGGTCCCCTAAAACAGAAAAGACGAGGGCTGGATGCGTTATGACGCAACCAATCTGACATTCACTTTGCGTGATCCTGGGCGCTCCTCACCTCTATCTCTTCGCTACCTTAGCTCCAGTTCTTGTTGTTGATACAGTTCATCCCTATCATGTTTGTTGACTTCGGTACATGCAGAGGGCACTTTTACCACTTCTAAGCTGACTGTAGGTACCATACCCGGCCTGAAATGGAAGCATCTGAGGTGGTTCGTTGTTGCCCGCTGTGAATGGAGTCATGTTTTGGTGTATGCCCCAGTGTGTGCAGTGTGGGCACTCGGTGGGATAGGCAATTGTTTGTTTGTACCCTGGCTTTGGCGTAGGAGCGCTAAAATATTTTGTTCCAGGTTACTACTAGCGCTGGTGCGAGAGGTGACCACCGAATTCCCAGACGGTCTCCAGTTCACCATCGCATCCATCACGCTCTTCCCTTTCTGATCTCGATTAGCTTACGCCCGACAGCATCACATCACACAATCATTGCCGGTAAAAACGACCGCAGAAGTGCCGTCCAATTGAGACCCCAGACAGCCAAAGAGCCGCAACCGAAGCTGTCACTGCGCAACCATGCATTTCCTCTTCTCGTCTGGCAGACAGGCTCTCCCCAGCTCCAGGCGCCTGCTCGGCAAGACCCCAGCAGCAGCGGCAGTGACCTGCAACCAATTTGCTTCGAGTGCCGCGTCCTTTTCGACCTCACGCATCGTTGCGGCCAAGAACCAAATCTACCAGTCGTGCGTACATCCATTATGGCTTTGCCATTGATTTGTCGCAAGGTCACTAACTCTTGTTTTTGTCCTCAGTGTTCGTAATCTCGATCAGTTCCATACCTACCAGCTTCTCTCATCCTCCTCTCGAACGCCGCTGTTGACGCTGTGGACCACCTCCTATTGCCCTACATGCCGAGTAGTGGAGCCCTTGTTGCGCGAGCTCGTCGAAACCGGAGTCGGTGAAGAGGAGGGCGGCGTTGGCTTTTGCACCGTCGAGTACGATGCTCCTGATGTTATGGAAGCTGGACTGGGTCTTAGCTATATGATTAACTCGATCCCGACCCTGCTGAGTTTTGATGCCCAGGAGGCGCAAACGCAAACCAAGGTCACGGATGGTCGCCAATTGGCTAATCGCAAGTTCTTGGAGGAATGGTACGCCATCTTTTTGGCTGTTGTGAAAATCTGGCTGTCTCGAGGCTAACTTGACTCTACTACAGGATCCGAAACGAGGCGAGACGGCATGGAAATCGTGGAGGAGGCGGGTCTCCTACCAGCATCTTCAGCGGCCTCTTTAGCAAACTGAAGGAGTAGCCCAACAGATCACCAATGACAAGTTTCTGCCGAGGTAGATCACAGCGCACATCGGCACTGCATCCTATGATCGTCGGTCAATGCACACAACTTCCCCGCAAATTAAGCTTCGCCAAAGCTGAGCGGCTCCAAATCACTCGACGACTGCCCTACACTGCTGAATACCAGAATCAACTTGGCCGTATTAGTCTCCTGGCGCAAGTAACGGTCAATTAATAGCTCGACTCCGTCGATCAGATTCACAGGCCACACCCAGAAGCGGGCATATGTTGGATAGGCACGAGTACCCGCTGGTGCCGTAGGATTTGCGCTGATAGAAAACAGACATTCAACAAACCGACCACAAACGAAAAGATACAGAAAATCCACAGACTTTATGCCTGGTAAAAAACCTCCTCAACGGGCTTCCACCACGACGGCTCTCCCGACTCGCTGTTCTTTGCTCCCGGGACCATGGACTCCTGGAATCCATCTGTCATCTTCCACCACTCGCGAACCTTTGGGTTCTCGCGCATTTTCTCCATATCGCCTTCATAGTCGTAGCCGACGTACTTGAAATTGGCAAAGAGAATGCCGGTGTCCGGGTCGTGGAAGATGCTGTCTGTGCACCGAGTTGGTTAGCCATGATCATGGTTGTGATAGCACAAGAATTGCCGACTTTGTTTCAGCACGAAAGAGGAACGGCGTACAATCGTGAATGTTGCACTCCTTGATCTGCTTCGCAACCTCAGGCCACACAGCAGCATGGACCTCCCGGTACTTGTCGATGTACTCGGCCTTCAGCTTGATGATTTGCGCAAAACGCCGGCCGGAATAGCGTATCCTTCCATCAGCGTTAGAGGCTGAAAAGACTGAGGAAACTGTGCTTGTCGACTGGCTCCTTTCTCTAGGGGACCAGAGTCTCGGCGCTCCAGGGTTCCAGAGACCCGCTTCAGCCTCCTTGGGAGGAGTCCACAATTGCCGGGCTGCCATTGTAGGTGATATTTGCTCAAACAAGTGGTTTCGTGATTGTTGGTGAAGGTGACCCGGGAAACTGTTGTTGGAGGAAGGACCTGTTGACCACTTTTCAACAAGGTGGGAGGATGAGGTCCGTATCTGCGCCCTTGTGATACCCTTCCTGATTGGTAATCGTAGTGCTGGTTTTGAAGGCGGACAACGCAAAGCTTGGGGCTTGTTCAGCTCGGCGCAGCTTGGACCAAAACTTGACTTCTTATCGTGCCTGTATCAAAATTCGCTTCAGGTTGTCGACAACTTGCGCTTTGGCAATTTTTCGTTGACAACAACGAATTTCTCCGTTCAAGACTATGTGACTCTTTTATATCCTCAAGCTGAGACCTGATAGGCGGCACCAGACGTTGATCACACCGGGTAAGGAAACAAGGAATAAAGTAGGGAGGGATATGCAACTACGTGGCAGGGCGGGCGGCGGTAGGAAGGTTGCAGCTGTGCTGTGATGGGTGCGCTTTCCTTTTTAAATAGTTTCGTGTATCGGACACCGTCACCGTCCAGTGGGAGTGTGTCCCAGCGTTTTGTTTGGAAAGAATTTGAAAAGGGGAGAGCAGCGTGGGGGGTTCTTCAACCAGGTTATGTCCGGCAATCTTGGATTGTGGAAGACAGAGGAAGAGGAAAGGAACTGAAAACACCAGAGCGAAAGTATTATATGTCGGGCAAACTTGCCACTCTAAGCGGGCACGCTTCCGAGAACTCTGCATTTATGCGAGGGGCTGCGAACATATGCTCCTCTTTCTTCTCCTCTTTCTCAGCTGTACATACCTGTACATATGTATGTTGGCTGTTGCGTTTATGCATCATGTGCCCCCCCAACGCCAATCCTGAACGGAACGGACTGTTTCACAAGATGTTCTATCGTAGCCAGCAACGGGAATCTGCTCCTCGGGGCGCCCGGAAGGAATGAAAGATTGAGATTTGAGATTTATTGCTAGATCGGGTATCACTGTATCACCCCGCTTGATCTTCACCTTGTCTTCTTCTTCAGCTTACAAAATACCACGCCGCTCTCCCCGTATTCAAAGGGTTGTATGGATATGTAAAACGAGTTCCATGGAAGCCAACCACACACACACGTCCGAACTCTGAACCGCTGAACCGATGGAATCAACCATGGCTTGCGGTTAGTGAAGTTGAACTAACCGGTGATTGACACTTTCAGGGTATCCGGTGGCTTTTTCGTTGTCCATGGTTACCGATGACTTAACCATGTGGTAGTTCCTTCAACAAGGGGACAAGGGGGTGGGTAGCCCACAACACCAAGATATGCGGGCAAACGCCTTCACTTGCGCCTGGTTGAGTTGTCCTCCCTCGTTTAACGGAGGTCCGTTATCCTTCGTTAGGTACCCTCCCGGGGCATCTTACCGCTAACTTGGTTGGTTGTACTTTTTCATTACGAAAGCCGACAATGCGCAGAGGATGATGGTCAAAGTTGGAAATGAGTCCAATATTTTCCCATACCAATCTTGCTCTCTGGCATACCTCAGTGGTAACACGCGGACATCAAGAGTGAATAAGATAATGCAAGGAGGAATTGTACTATGAACAATGGTTCAGAAGCGTAAAACAAAAGAAGGAAAAAGGTCTGGACTTCCCCCTAAAAAAGTCCAATCGGCAACGAATGGTGAGGAGGTGCCGAGGTGGGAAGTGGTGAGTGGTGTGTTTAGCCTTCACACTAGACTTGGACTCTTCCTGGCGCTAGAGAACTCTTGATTCAGCGCGGAGTTATTGGAGGCTCGGGGAGGGCGGTTATCGGCTTGGTTATTCCTATGAAGACTTGGAAGACTTGGAGGACAGAGTGATGATCTGCTGGATTCTTGAAATTAGTCGATGTATAGTCAAGTTTATTCGAAGTCCCTTTCTTTGAGATTTGTCTGTCCATTGGGTTCGTAAGGGCTCTGCGCCCAAACACACAAGAACCCCCGCATGTCCACCCCCGGTCTCGGAGCGTTCACACAGCGAGGAATGCGGGAATATGGGCGGAGGTTCCCCGCGTTTTCTTGAACTATAATATGCATGCCAGATATGTGGATGGTGGTTGTCGTTGGTGCTTTTGATGGATTGGCGTTGAGATTTGTATATCGTCCCAATCAAAGAGTCAATGTTCCTTCTGAGAGTCTTCCCTCTCGTCTGTCACTGAACTTTACCTACCCAGCTACCATCAACATGGTGACACCTGGGAAGATCATGTACTTATTGTCCTCGATGACTTTGGCTGTGGAAGTGAGAATGTCAGATCACCACATCGGCCCGTCCCCTTCATTCGTTCCTTTCAGGTTTCCCCCTACCCGACTAGATCGCCCCGGTCGGTGCGGAGAAGCCACCGTTACGATGAATGCAACGCTCCCCATTCCCCCGCTCCGGAAGGTTGTTTACACACACCACACTATGAAGAGCAAGGGAATTCACGGCGTGATCATGGCATAGGGACATTCTCGTTCCCGAACTAGCCACTTCAGCAGCGGAAGGTCCAAAAGGTGAGGCGAGATCGTCGAGTCCGCCGGTTCATTGGGGTGCGTAACGGGCCACCTTCAAATCCCACTTGTGTAGGGAGAGGGGACTGCCCACGGCGATGAGATCTTGTACAACCTCAGCGGTGGAGATCATGATCGAGATGAGCAGAGGGCACTTTATAAGCCAAGTACAGTGGGGCGCCAAAAAAAACGACCAACTCTTTTTTTACCCGCAAAAAAGGCCAAAAGTCAACTTCTTCAACTCTTGATATCTTGACGAGCCTTTTTACAAAAGTTACTCTACGTCTAAATTAGAAATATCTTTAAGAGGAGATGCTAATGCAAATTGTCTGAAAGGATGCATTTGAAAAGGGCGCGAAAGGGCAAGTACCAAAGTGACTTTCCGAAAAGCATCTCAAATCTCATCCACTAAAATGCACTATAAATCCACTATAACTGAAAATACTTTTCATGCTCTCATTTCGACAGTTGTCATTATACTGCTAAAAGAAAGAAACTAATTCTAAGTATATATTGAGTAAGTATAACCATTTACCTCTCTCTTTCTAAAGTATATTTGCTTTTAAAAGGTAGTTGAATATAAAAACTAAGGAGTGAAGAAGTTGAGTTTTGGTCTTTTTTGCGGGCAAAAAACAATTGGTCGTTTTTTTTGGCGCGGGATTGTACATGATGGCACACAGCGGCAACAGTCCGTTTCCGTCCCGCATCAATCTCCGATTTGGGTCAAGGTGTAACCGATGTGTTGATCCACACGGCAGGCGATCGGTATCAAAGTCTAGTCCAAAGGGGACAACTGCGCAGGTACATAGCCTGGCCTCGGTGCTAACTTCCATTGATTGCAAAAACACTCGCAAAAGGCATCTTCAATTCCACCCGCCTGCTTATAGTCATGGGCAGCCACTGTCCATACTCCTGACGCCAGTATTCCGGATCCGAACCCCGTGATATCAACACCCCTCTGTGACCAAATCCGCGAACCCATGGAGGTAACTGAAACAAAACACAACGCATTTTTCATCCCCTTACTCCTTCAAGCCCAGCATTTCCCTCAAAGCAGCCTCGCTCGCCCGATACCACCTCCCTTTAGCCTCCATCTCATCGTACGTCTCACCCGCCTTCTGCGCATTCTCCCTCCGCCTCTTTGCCTCCCTTGCTGCTGCGCTCACCTGCGCCCTCTTTGCCGCCAAAGCCGTAACCTCCATCTGCAGCCGTTCCATCTCCTTTCTCTTCCTCGGCGCCAAGCTCGACAGCTGCTCCACTTGCCGCTCCAGCTCCCTAACCTTCTGCCTTCGCTCCTCCACCAACACCGCCGTCTTCGCCAGCGGCAGATTCATCTCCGGCTGGCTCCCTGGCTGGATGGCCTGTTTCGTCCGCAACTCATCCACCCTCTTCTGCAGCTCCTCCATCTTCCCCGGTAGCTCCCTCAGCTTGACCCGGTCCAGCTTCACGCGCTCGTACCGCGCTGCCAGCTCGCGCGAGCGGGACTCGAGGTCTTCGACGAGCAGGGCGACTTCGGTCTTGAGCGCCTTGAGCGAAGCCTTGGCGGCCATATTGCTCGCCTCGAGGTCTGCATTTTCTTGGGGCGTGACGATCAAAGGGGGATCGCCGACGATGGCGCGTATGAATTTTTCTTTGGTGACCTGTTCGACGTAGGAGAAGCGGAGCTTGGCAAAAAGTTCCTTGTAGTGCGCTAGATCGGCCTCGAGGCTGGCGGGTGTGGGCGCGTCGAGCGCGGAGGAAGCGCTGTGGGCGGAAACGTCTGAGGTGCGCGGGGCGGCGGTGCTTGGTTGCTGGTTATGTGATTCGTCATTGCCGCTGTTGCTGCTGGCATTCTTGGTTGCAGCTGAGTGTAATGCGCTTGATATAGGCTCGGAGATCTTGATGATGGTTATTTCGTCCCGCGTAGAGGCATCAAGGGAGCCGAGGACTTGGAGTACTTCGGCGGCGCGTTGAAGAAGGGCGGTCACATCTGAAGACCCCGACCTCGGCGTTGTTGCTCTTGTGGTCCTTGCTCTTGGCGTCATTGTTCTTGGTGTCGTTGTTCGCGGCGTCATGGCTCTCGGTGTTGTCCCTTGCGGTATTGGTGCCTGCGATGTTGCTGCTACTGCCCCAGCCTCTGGGGGCGGCGTTCGGCGCAAACCCATTATTTTTATGTTGATATTGTTCTTTCTCCCCCACTGTCTCCTTCCTTCCGTGTCGTTGCTTTTTTCCAGCGATGGGATTGCACGATGCTCTGGGGTTGGGTGAAGCTACGCGTGGTCTGGTTTACAGGCGCAGTATCCTGGAGATCCCGTTTTTGGAATATGGTTGCGAGCGAAAGCTTGGAAAACGTTGGGTTATGATTGTTCGATAAATACTTTATCCGTCTTTGTAGTTCAAAGGATATCGCTCGCACGCAGTCCGACTCAGTGTGTTGCTGGTGTTGCCGGTTGAAGATCGCGACGGCAGGAGGAGGGATGATCGCCCCTGGGTTGTTGACATTGGATCCGCATATGGCTTAGTCCAGCTTCTCGGGACGCTTTATCGCCGAGCCAGTATGATACCCCTAACCCTTATCGCATCCAGGAATTTCTGCGAACAGTAATGTACTTTGGGTACCTACTTCTGTAACGAATTTTCAAAGACCCCAGGCATCGAACCCTTCAACACATCGACCACAAGTAATCCTCTCTTAGTTCTTGGCTACTCGTCAGGTCTTCAAAATCGACCGTCTAACTAGTGGGCGAGCCACTAGTCAGGACCAGCAACTCGTACACGACCAGCAACTCGTACCGCGGGAGCGACTTGCACGGGCCAAGAAAAACCCTTAGTACCAAAGTCGCCTACGCTAACCCAGTTAGCGGGCTTACCTGCATATGTATATAGTCTAAGTACATTTTACCCCCCGAGCTGCATGTACAATGCATGCACACCATATACCGACCCGATACAAGAATCCGGTACGAGTTGCTGGTCGTGTACGAGTTGCTAGTCCTGACTAGTGGCTCGCCCACTAGTCAGACGGTCGATTTTGAAGACCTGACGAGTATCCCAGTTCTAGTTTGGATATTGTTTGAGGGGTATCATCAAGTCAAATTCTC